AACAACTATATTGACAACGGTCCAATCGATATCCGGTCAGCATTCTTCGGAGGAAGAACCGGGCCACTTAAATTGTTTCATCAAGTACAGCCTGGAGAGAAAATCAGCTATTTCGACGTGACCTCCCTTTACCCTTTTATTAATGTCACAACAAAATATCCTACTGGACATCCAACAGTGCATGTTTTGAATGAAGATGTTTCCTGGGCCAATTCTAGGGATAACAAGTTCGAGCTTGCCATACTTAAGGTATTTTAATTTTTTTCAAAATTTTTAGTAAGTAAAATTAGGTCTTTGTGATTCCACCTCGAAAGATCGATGTACCGGTTTTGCCTGTGAAGTTTGACGACCGACTACTCTTCCCGCTTTGTGCTACATGTGCTCGCCTTTTTCCTCAGGGATCTGTGAACGAGGACTATACCTGCGAGCATGAAGATCGGGATCGAGGATGGGTGAGTACATGTACATCAGTGGAGTTGAACGCAGCGCTCGACGAAGGTTATCGAGTAACTAAAATTTTCCGCGTCCTCGAATATACTGCTTCTGACAGCAGACTCTTCAGACCGTATATTGCTGAGTTTATGGCTCAAAAGATACATGCCAGCGGATTTGACGACAGTATCAAAGGAAACTTTGAAGCCGAGGAGAAATTCATCAGAGAATGCGCGGATATGTTCGATATAAATATTGAACGTGGAAAGATGGTAAATTTATATGATTAATTTTTAAATATTAAATTTTCAGGTAATGAATAAGGGGAAGAGGACACAGGCAAAATTATGCCTCAACAATCTTTGTAAGTCTTTTTTTAATAAAATTTTTTAAGCTTAATAAAATTATTTATAAATTCATATTAAGGGGGTCGCTTTGCCTTGAGAAACTTTGGACTAAGTCAATGCACGGTTACAGACAGACCTTCAACACTTAGAAAAATGTTGGACGACAGCACCAAGGAAGTTTCTGGCGTTGATGAGCTCACTCCACTTGTAGTACTCATCTCACATCTGACCAAAAAGGATTTTGTTGAAGAGCATGAGTGCTCAAATGTCGGTATGTTTTATCTAGTTTAAGTTAAAGTTAATATATAATTTTAGTGATCTCCCTTTGGACCACTGCTTGTGCGCGCATCCATCTCCTGAAGGCAATGCAAAAGGTTGTTAGGACACCCGGGTGCACTCTCCTTTATACAGGTGAAATTAAACTTTTTAAATAAGTTTAAAAATTCTTAAATTTAAGACACGGACTCTTTGATCTTCGTACACCCTGAGGAGACGTGCCCACTGCAACTTGGTCCTCACTTGGGTCAATTCACCAATGAGTACCCTCGACATGCCATCCTGGAGTATTGTTCAGGTGGTGCAAAACAATACGGGCTGAAACTTCGGAAAAAAGATGATCCGGATGCCGATTTGGACTATGTGCTGAAGGTCAGAGGAATGACACTTAACTGGGACGTGGTCAATAAACAAGGACTTCGTTATGAAACGTTTAAAGAAAAAGTATTAAATTTTGTTAACGATGGCTATTGTGACCCGATTAATATTGTCTACCCTCATTTCCTCAAGCCATCTGTGAAGAAAGGATCTGTCTTTACACAGCCTCTTCAAAAAAAATACCGGCCCTTTGTGGGGAAAGGTGTAATACGTCCAAGTGATCAAAAAGTTTTAGATTTTGGTTTTAATTTGTAATTTATTTTAAAAATTTGTAATAAATTTTATTTTTGCTTGCAAATTTAGTTAATAGGAGTATAAGATTTTAGGGGTAAAATTACCAAATTAAGGTTAGGAAGAAAAGATTTAAGAATTAATAGAAAGAAGAGGTGAATTTAAGGTGTAAAATTGCAGAATTAGTAGATAGGAAATACAATTTATTTAAAAATTCAAAATTAAGAAAAACGAGTTTATGATTATAGGGGTAAAATTACAGAATTAAGTAACGAACGATTAAATTTAAAATATTTTAATAAATAACTTGAAAACAATTTATGTATGTGTGTGTAATATGTGAGTGTGTGTAGGCTTACCACCCTTCCATCTCATCGAAATCATCTTCAAAATGTAGAGTATCATCCATATTCTTGTCTGAATCACTTGTTTCTTTATCAATTTGTAATTTATCGGAAACTTCAGAATAGAGTGGTTTATCATCTAGTTGAAAGCCAATGTAGTCTTCCTCTTTTTCATCAACAAACTCCAATAATTCTAGAGGATAGAATCGATCTTCGCAACGGCGCGGGAAGTGCTCAATTACACATTGTAGATAAGGATATTGAAGACGAATCCGATGCCGTGAATAGAAATGTGCTGCAACAGAAACATTGAAAGGACGAGACAAAGCCCCGTAGGCCATTGTACAATGTGCTCCTTTGTAAGTAAGACCATTAATAGTGAAAGTCTTGCGAAATCCGTTCCTATCTGAGTAGAGGGTGCGCACTTTTCTTCCTTTAAGTTTTGATACGAGTAATGCTCGCTTTGATGGGTGATGTATCTGATCACGCAATGATTTAGGGTGACAGTGTAAAATTTTAGCGCATTCATCGATAAGGAAGAGCATTTTGAAGATTTAGAAATGAAATGAGATAATTTGAAAAATTTTCAGCTTTTATACTCCTTGAACTTATCTCTCGTAATTTAAAATATTAAAAAATGGATTTTTATAAAATAGAAATATTTATTAAAAATTTATTAGATGGTCCCTTTTTTACTAAATTAAATTTAAAGAAAGTCCCTTTATTATTGTTTGAATTTATTGTTTTGTATATTTGAGCGTTCAAAATATGACCTTGACGAGCAAGCAATGCTGCAGCGACAGTCGCTACTGCTCCCAGTCAAAGGGAATGGATAAAAGAAGTGGTCAGTAATTTATTTCAAAACAAGCCGTATTGACCTGATTTTTTATTATTTATTGTTGGATTTTTTATCTATAATTTTTTTCCTGAAATTTTGTCTAACTTAGCAAAAAGAAAGATGGACAATGGACAATCAGAAGAGAATGGTTCTTATTTAATTTTAACTCTAGAATAAATTATTTTTAAATCAGAAAATGTACGAGTAGAAGAAAAGTGCATTCATTGTGGAGCTGATCAATTAAATTCACCAAGATGTTACGAACTAAATTCAGAAGAAGAAATTTAAATTTTAAAAAATTTTTAAAATTAAACTGTTGAAAATTTTTTAAAGATAAAATTTTAAAGTAAAAAATCTTAAATTTTTATTAAATTATATGCTCCCTAAGTATTTGCCCTTTTTACTTTATCCCTTCTTTTCCCTCTCGCATAGGATAATTAATTATCTTTATTTAAGGCACGCGTCTTTTTTAGTGTGAGTAAAAAATCAAGATTTATCTTTGATTTATAAATATTTAAAAATTTGGAAGAAATGCCATCTGTTGTATAATTTATGTTTTTATATTATAATGGCATACTTCAAGAAACATTGTTTTTCCCTCTTATTCATTATAAAATTAAAAAAATATATTCCATCTTGTAATGAATATGAAAAATATTAAAAGTGATTTGATTTTTTATAAAAATCAAAATATTTTCATTCAACGACAAATAATCTTGCTTCAACGCCGAGAGCGTTTATATAAGGCTCTTTTGATTAAGAAAAATATATTGTTAAAGAAGGCCGGCTATAATAAGATAGTAAAGAAAAAAGAAGTTGAGAAGAAATGTACCAATGACGGTCTGTTCTTTTAATATAATTTATTTTAGGAAAATATTTTAAATGTTTATGAGGGGTGTAAGATCCATAAGGAAAATATACAGTGGCATTTGCTGTTTCAGTTTAAGTCCTTTATGGGTAAAACCTGTTTTGAGGCCCTTTAGATTAGTCTAAATATATCATTTGAAAGAGCTCGATGAGTTTGGTAGACCCGTCAAAAGTAGCTCGCTGTCTCAACTATAGAGCGAGATACATGCACTAAAATGTAAAAAACAATAGGGCGACAAAGCAAAATTTCTCCATTTATCCATAATTTAAAAAATTTAAGAAGAAATTCAAATTGTACATGCCAACATTAAACCTTTGGTATTCGATCCAAAGAAGGTAAAAATTGAAAAACAGGACTGAAAGAAGAATATCCTCATTTTCAACTGAATGGAAAATTAAGAAATTTTTGATTTGTTAATTTAAAAAAATGATTTAAGTATTTTAATAATTTTCTGTTAACAATGTTAATCATATGCCTTGTTATTAATTACTTAATTGATAAAAATTAAAAGAAAAAACATTTTATAAAAAATTTTTAAATAATACAGTCTTGAAATTTATAAATAAATTTAAACAAATTTTTATTAAATTTAAAAATTTTTTTTATTCATATCGTCCTTCAAAGCCATAAGCCATCTTTCATCTTCAAAACAGTTGAGGAACACATTTGCTCATTCAGCATTTGTCCGATAGAACTACAAATTATTGTATTAGGGAAAATTTTTAAGTTAAATCAATCTCCATTATGGAATCATCAGGTATCCAAACCGGTCCCCGAAGATCGGTCCCGAGTATCCAAACTGGTCCCCGGTATCCGATAGATCGGTCCCGAGTATCCAGTTTGGTCCCCAGTATCCGATAGAATCGGTCCCGGGTATTCAGCCTGGTCCCCGGTATCCGATAAGACGGTCCCAGGTATAAAAACTGGTCCCCGGTATCCGATAGATCGGTCCCGAGTATCCAGTCAGGTCCGCGGTATCCGATAAGACGGTCCCAGGTATACAAACTGGTCCCCGGTATCCGATAGATCGGTCCCGAGTATCCAGTCTGTCCCCGGTATCCGATAGATCGGTCCCGAGTATCCAGTCTGGTCCCCAGTATCCGAAGAATCGGTCCCGAGTATCCAGACTGGTCCACGGTATCCGATAGATCGGTCCCGAGTATCCAGTCTGGTCCCCAGTATCCGAAGAATCGGTCCCGAGTATCCAGACTGGTCCACGGTATCCGATAGATCGGTCCCGAGTATCCAGTCTGGTCCCCAGTATCCGATAGAATAGGTCCCTGGTCTCTAGCATGATCCCCGTTTTTGATCCCCTTGATATTTTAAACTTATCTTTATATATCCTCCATCGAACACAAAATCCATATCCAGGCACAATAATCCATAGCCATGCACAATTACATTTCGGCATACTAAATGATAAAAAATATTCGAATTATTTTAAAAGGTTTATTACCCATTAGTAAATTGAATAGTTCCAGTAATTTGTTGAGGAGAGCCAGATTTTGTGATTTTGTTCCAACTCCTCCCAAAATAACATTAAGTAGAGAACAATTTGTCTAAAAATAATAGAAAGATAAAAAAAAGCCAAAAGTCAAATCAGTTGTACCTAGATAAGCACACATTTCTACCAAAAAATGTTGGGGCAGTAGCAAAAAGACCGAGAATGAAGTACAAGAACAAGAACTTGGTGCAAGCTAAAAATTCAAAAAAAATTTTTTTAATCAGACCCAATAAAATACTACCTTATTCGAACATTTGGTGCAACTGTTCCACAGTAACGAGCATCTAAATTTGCAGAAAGCAGGTCTTCTGTAGGGTCTTGTAATTCTGAGTAGGCATCCACATAATAAATTAAAATTTAAAAATTTTAATTTATTAATATTTAAAATCTCCATACCCCAAAAAATTTTCCATCCCCAAAATTTCTATACAACATCAGGAATAGGAAAAAAAATTTTAATAAGAAATATATAGTTGCTTAAATTTGGTTAAATAAAGAAGGGTTTGGTTTGGGGTTGTGTGGATTGTAAAAAATCAATGCAACAGTGTGATGGTTTTGTTGCAAAATTAAAAGAGAGAGAGAGAGACAAGGTTAAGAAACACAAGCGGTCAGACAGGGTGATGAGTGGACAGTGTGGGGAGTGGGGTGAGGAGTGGGGTTTTTCCTTTACTACTAGTATTGTCAATGACCTTGAAAAATAAAAATATTTTCGGGAAGAAAAAGAAAAAACAACTCAATATAGTAGTTGGGAGGAGAAAACATAGAGAAATTTTAACTTGTGTGTGAGTATCAGTTTGAGTCTCACCTATTTTAAAACTATCAATCTTGAATAAATTTGTATCAGTTATCGAAAAAAGGAGGGGAGGGGGAGGGCAAAAAACTCCTTAAACCCCCCCCCTTCCTCCTACCCTTCCCCCGAGAACTAATTGCTAATCTGAAAAATCCTCCCCCTCCAACCCCTACTAGCTCAATAGGTTGTTAATTGCTCTCACAAACCCCAGGCTCGCCACTATTGCCAATAAATTGCGGTTACTAATTAGTAGAAAGGGTCAACAAATTACTCATTAAAAAATCCCACAGCTGTCAAGATTGCGGTTAATAATTAGTAGAAGGGGAGGGGTCAACAAATTACTCCTTAAAAATCCCCTCCCCACCACCCACCAAAACTGTCAAAAGATTGCGGTTAAATGGGAAGGGTCAACAAATTACTACTTAAAAAATCTCCTTCCTCCTACCCCTCCCCCAGCTCTAATTTGAAAATCCTCCCCCCTCCTACCACCCACTCACTCAATAGGATAAGGATAGCTCGCGCGGACCCCTCCCCCACCAAAGCTGTCAATAGGTTTAAGCTAGTGCGCGAACATAAATCATAATTAATTGCGGTTAACCACCCATCCAAAAGGATGGCGGCATCCCTTTGTGCGCAAAACGTTGGGTTAACTACTCTTTTCTTCAGTCATTTTTACAAATTAAATTTAAAAATTATTTAAAAAATGATCTCTCTTCATTTATAATTAATTTAAATAAAAATTTCTTTTTTAAATTATTTTATTCACAACAATTAGTTTCATTCGTTTTATTTTCTTCTTCAATTATCTTTCTTAACGGTAATTTTGGAATTTTTGTTCGAAGTCTCCCTGTTGGTGAAATTAATAAAGTAAAGGGCCTATTTGCGGCAGAAATCATTGGTTTATTGACAGACATTTTTCTTTTTAATTTTTTTATTTTTGATGGATTAGAACATGCTAAATGTAAAGAACGACAACAAACAAGCAAAGAACATAAAGATAAAAATCCTTTGAAAAAAAAATTTTTTTAAAGAATTATTGGGGTGTGGATAATTTAAAATAATTTGTGGAATTTTTAATTCATCCACACTTTTATTTATTAATTTGTTATACCTCCAATTAAGGCAAAACATAATAATATAGAATTAATTGCTGGACCAATACATTTTCGAATATTTAAAAAACTTTCTTCTTTTAACCATTTTACCCAAATTAAAGGTTCTATTAATTGTTTTGTTTGTGGACAATTAATTTTAATAGGAATTGGTTGGTTGGAAAGTTTTTGGCTACTTTCAATACCCAAACAAGCCCATAAAAGAGAAGTAAATACACAACCAGGTAATAAAATACATAAGGAAATTCTTTCTGGCCATCGACTAAATTTTAAAAATAAATTTTGGACAAGTTATTTAATCATTACCTAGCAGATATAAAACTCAAAACTGAAGATAAAACAGCAAATAATGAAGCAGAAACACCAAAATTGGATTGACTTAAAGGATTTGTAAAAGCATCAAATATTAGAAGAAATAACCCCAAAATAAGTTGGGTAATGCCTAGCCAACCAAGGGGACCACTTCCTTTACTTGATGGTGAGGGAAATGATCTCCTTTAAAAAATAAAATTATAAATAAATTATAGGAATTAATTTTTAGCTTCTCTGAAAAATAAAATAGCATCCTTATATTTTAAATCACAACTCTAGAATGGCAACGGAAACGGTTTTGAAAATTAAAATAAAACGGTATTAATAAAATACCTAATATCTACAGTCTTAAGACAAAATATTTAATTAAAATTAGAGAGCACAGAGTATGTTATTCTTCTCATGTCGAGATGTATGACATTTTAGATATATGTCAGTTGGGGCAGTTTGAGTCTTTAACTTTACGACTCTACAAAGGAATTATTTTTAAATTTAAAATACATATAAATATTTAAAAAACTGTGTTAAAAAGAAATTTAATTCCAACTTTTTTAAAATTATTTAAAATTTATTTTACCTTTTCTTTATTCCTTTATCACCTCCATTACTTCCATTTTTTAAATCCTCTATATTTTCCAAATCTTCATTTAATAAAGCTTCGGTAATCGCAATTTCAGCTTTTTCTCTAGCTTCTCTTTCCTCTTCTTCGAGTTCTTGAATTGTTTTCTTTCTAGCGGGTGGAGGATGTTGGTCATTATTAAAAAATTGATCAACCATGGAAGAAGGAACTTCTCCGGTTTGGGGAAGATTTAAATAACGACTACCCATTAAAATAAATTAATTATCAATTTGAAGACTAATGGAGATAAAAGAGATAAAAATGATTTGATATACTAGGAATAATTTTTTAAATCAAGATTCAGTGACGATAGGACAAAGGCTGCTAACGAGGGAAAGTAATTCCCAAAATTTTATTTAATCTCCAAAAAAACTTTCATGCTTTAATGAAAATACTTAAAAAAATGGATTTATTGAGGTGGGAGATTGATCGAAGAATTAATGTTTGGTGGTAGACAGCCGGAGAAAAAGATCTTTAAAAAAGTAAAACCTCAAAGTCAAACAAAAATTTGTTATAAAAAATTGGATGAACATTTGTTGTTTTATTTTAAATTTTATTTTATGTATAAATGTTTAGATTTTATAGTTTTTGTTTTGAAACTTACACATGTAAGTATAAATCTATTAAAGTTCAGTGTAATTCTATCCATTTCAAACTTATTGGCATTTTGTCCAGTTTTACCCTTATTGGTATTTTGAAAAGCTTTAACCCCAACGACATTTTGTCCATCTCAGTGAAGTTTTGTCTCTTTGTCTCGTTTCCCTTTCGTGTCCGGACAAAATATCGAATCGTTAAAATATGGAATAGGCTAAAAAAGGGTTAAAATCTCGAATCGGGTAAAAATGGGTTAAAATCGCGAATAGGCTAAAAAGGGGTTAAAATGTGGAATCGTTAAAATATGGAATGGTCAAAATATGGAATAGGCTAAAAAAGGGTTAAAATATGGAATCGTTAAAATATCGAATAGATAAAATGTCGACATGGCCAAAATAGGTCAAAATGTCGAATTTTTTAAAAATATCGCCAAAACCTAGAATCCGGGCGTTACCGTAATACCGACGGTATTTTTCGGTATTCCGAGTCGGTAGTACAGTACGGAATTCCGACCGATAAAATTTAAAGGCTGATCGGTATTTTTCGGTATTCCGTACCGTATACGGTAGGGTACAAAATTTAGGTCTTAACTAAAAACTAGTGCACGCCACTCTAATTTTTCCGTATCAGGATCGCGTTATGTTTTCCGGATTCGTACGATCATGCCGGACCGGATCCGGTCTTGATTTATCCGGTCCGGTTTTACTCCATAAAATACACTGAACTCGGGCAGAAAAGATTACGCCGGACTATGACATACGAGACTTATCAATCAAATTATCAAAAATAAGTTGATAAGTTGATAAAATTATCAACAATCAATGTATGGCACTCATCTGACCCTTTTTTAAAAGAATTCGACATTTTGACCCATTTTGGACGTGTCGACATTTTTACCATTCCATATTTTAACATTCGATATTTTAACCCTTTTTTACCCGATTCGATATTTTAACGATTCCATATTTTAACGATTCGGTATTTTAACCCCTTTTTAGCCTATTCGTGATTTTAACCATTCCATATTTTAACGATTCCATATTTTGTACCGGAGCCTTCCCTTTTTTCTCTCCTATATTGTCTATATTATTTTCTCATTTTATTTCATTTTGACTTTTGGGTATATACTCTAAAATTATACCAAATAACTTAATAATGTGACTCAAACTGCTTATATTTCACATTAACAATGTGCCATTGTTTGGCGAAAGACTGCAAAATTAGCAAAATCTTCAAATAAATAATTTTAATAATGAACAAAATATTTAACGAGCACGAATATGACACTAAACCTGGAACAAGTTTTGATCGTCATTTTACTGAACCGGCTTCAGTTTTCTTTAATGGAAAAATACGTATATTTAGTGAACTTGATTTGTCTTCACGGGAGGGGGATGTTCTTGTTAATTTTTGTGCTAGCGATATTCTTTCTGGTTTGTTTTTAGAAATATTTTTATATTTATTTGTTTTTTTGTTTAGGTGATGAAACATTTTTGGGAATTCATGAACTTTCTGGAGATAAATTGAAGGATGTTTGTGTCAGATATAAATCTCTCGGTATTGGAAGTTGTCGATTTACTGATTCTTTTGGACTCAACAATTTTAAAAGTAAATCAATTCTTTTATTTTATTTAAATATCTTGAAGAAATTGCCCATTGTATTTTGCCTCGACCAGTACAAAGCGATGATTGTGTTGATATAGATGAACTTGTAGAATTCGATTTAATGCTTTGCTATAGAAATGTGATGGATTTATTGATAGAGAAAGGGTATAATTCTGTTGTTTTTACACATCCACTTCTTTATATGGATAAAACAAGTGTTGTTACTTTGGCTGTAACTGTTTTGACTTATTGGATGGAATTTTCTGTTTATGCAGAAAAAGTAAAAAAATATTTTGAATTTTTTGAGGAAATTCCAAAAATTATTTTCAAACATTTTACCAATTTTTTAGCTCAATTTCATCAGCATTGTCTGTTCATCCAAAGAAATTTCACAATATTATATTAACAGTTTGGATGAATTGGCTGCTCGTGGATGGGAGGAATTTGCTATTTCACATTCAAATGTTATTTATTCTTATTTACTTGAGACATTTGGATATGAAGGAAGTAATTCTGCCGGTTTTAAAGTTTGTTATTTTACATAATTGTTTGGGATTTTGAAAATTAAGTTTGTTTTGTGGAATAATGATGCTTCCAAATAGGATAGGGAAAATAGCTTTAATATTACAAAACTTCCATTACTTTCTCTTTTTTTTAAATCTCATTCAGTTTTCATAATAGGATAGTCGTTTTCATTTACATATTCCAATTTTAGCTCCCGAATCTAACTATTTTCTAAAAATATTTATAAAACATTTTAGGGGAATGAAATAGATCCAATATTAAGACTTCGATATATAGAGCCAATTGAATATAGTGAACCACTTTATGACTTGCGGATATTGGAAGTTGTTTTTGAGCGAGAATATGCGCCTTTGGTATTGTTAGATCACGACTCTATTCTGCAGCAATATCAACAATTAAGAGACAGTAAAGGGTTATTTTTTGTTTGAAATTTTTTAAAATAATTTTAATTTATTAGAATGTATGAGGAGGGGAATGAGGCTTTGCTTTCTCCAATGGAGGATATAAATTTAAATCAATTTTGTATTGAAACATATGGCTTTGATGAGACATATATTCGACAACATCCTGATGAGGTTTACGAAAAACTGTGAGTATTGTAAAATATTTTTTTGTAAATATTTTTTAGTTTTTATTCTCCGGATGGTGTTCATCTTCAACTTTCTCGAAATTTAAGTCATTCTATTTTGTCTATCGAGGAGAAACAAGGCGGTCTTTTAAGGCAATATAGAATGACAACTCAAAACCGTGAAGGAGAAACTTTTTACTTTCGATGTTCTCGTTGCGAGTCCTTAATGAGATATACAAATGTATTTTTTAAATTTAATTTTTTTGGTCTCCCCTGTTTTGACCTATTCATATCTTATAAATTTTATTTTTTGGTCCTTCCTGTTTATTTAATACGGCAATGTAGTTTTTCAGTTCGATGCTTAACCTATCTATACCTGATAAACTCCCAAATAGATTAAAGGATAAGCTACATCTCTAAATACTCTTCTGAATAATTTTTTAAAAAATTAATTTAGGAGCAATTCCGCCCAAAAATTATTGTTCGTGAAGGATTAATTCAAGGAGATTGTTACCCATCCCATCACCCTCAATGTTTTCCAGCAAATAAAGAATGGGTAATTCTTCAACAATTACATCGACAAGCTAGATTATATTTAATTGAAATGACTACAGCTCAACAATTTGAAAATTTTGATGAAAATTATGGAGAAGATCACGAATATGGACAAGAATTTGTTTTTAATGATTATTTACCTGATAGCAATTTACAACAAGGAAGTAAAGATTTTGGACAAAGAGAGGTTTTTAAATTTTTAGAAATTTAGATTGATCTAAAAGACAAGGGCATAACCAGGATCGGATTTCAGAGTGAGGTTAAGATTTGGTGTGCCATGAATTCTTGAATTTGGAAGGTCTTAAGCGGAAAAATTTCATCTTTTCGATCGTCCTTCTCCCAATATTTTCTATTTTCCCCTACACGCCTTTGCTAAAGAAAAAACTAGCTTTAAATCTTTTTTGGATATTAAATTAAATGTTGATTATATATTTGTTGTAAACTAAACAAATTAATTTAACATTTTATAATTATTTTGAAATTAATTTAGCCTGGATTGGACATCAAGCAAGAGACTGTTGATGATGATGATCTTGGTTTGTATTTTACAAGGGATATCCAGGGGCTGGATTTCAGGGGAATGGGGCCTCTGGATATGCCCTTAGCATTTTAATAAAACCATTTTTTAGCCTATATCGGATCTAAAACAAAAAAAAGTCAACAAAAAATAGAACAAAATAAAATCAAAGAAGATATTATTACTAATGGAAAAAAGAGTAAAAAATTCCGAATAATTCGTAAAAGAGGAGGTATGACAGATATGGCTTTTGATTGGCGTGAAACTGATTTTAATGATGGAAATAAAGGAATGAAGAAATAAAAGGGGAATAATTAAAATTGAAAATTGATTCTATTTTTTATTTTTGTGTGATTGATTTTGTACTATTATAAATCAATGATAAATAAATTGGAAATCAGTCTTTTACAAAGTTAGCCTTTGTGGAGAATAATTATTTTAGCTATTTAGGCATTTTTGTTTTTAAGCAGCTGTAGTTAGGCGCTTACGGGTATAGAGCTCGGGTTTCGAATATCGTATTACGCGTGGCGCGAACTTTGCGTTTTTGCGTAAACGCAATTTCCCTCTGATCGTCTGCTCCTAATTTTTAAATTAGAAAAAGGAAAAAAATATTGGTCTTAATCAAAAACAAATTACAAATATTATATTTATGGATGGGCAAATACATACAATTAATACGCACAAAAAATCAGAGAAAGAAGATCCAATATACACACAAGATTTTTATCTTGACATCGTTCTGCTATGAGTGTTCTTCTTTTGCCAATCATAAGGCTCCCTCAAATTGCAATTCCGTCGTTTCGCCACACGCTTGACCATTTCGCGAATCCAGTGGTAGTCTATCTTGTCCACGTAGTGCAGTCCATTCAAGTATGTGATCACCTCACAGAACTCGCTCTCCTGTAAAAATTAAACAAGAGATTATTTTGCCTTAAAAGAAGTCTATTATGGGTGTGCCGAAACAGGTTTTAAAAAGCGAAAAACGAAAGCCAAAAGGCGAAATGGCACACCCCTGTTTCCCAACAACTCACCTCGGAGCTCTTGAACAATGTTCGTGGCTCAGCAATCGCCTTCCTCTTCATTCGCTCAACTTCGTCCACGTCGGTAACCATGTGCCATGGAAGTCGATTCTCATTTACCATGTCCACAACCATATAGATCCAACTCTCGCAGTCGTCTTTACGTCCAAGCTCCTCCATCTTGTGCATGGTCACTGGGGCGAAGCGGACGGTGCCTTTGAACTTTATCTGAAAATTTTGAAAAAGATAACCAACTTCGTTAGGATTTTATCTTTCTTTACCTTTCTTCGTGGTGTCAGCATACTCCCCTTCGCGTCAAGAATCTTCCGTGCAATTCCGTAATCGACAACGTAAACAGTGTTTGCGTCTTTGGTCCCTGGCGCTCCGATCACGAAATTTGCCGGTTTGATGTCGCGGTGAAGAAAGCCAAGATCGTGCATTTCTTTGATCGCGTCAATCGACTGGATGGCACAATAGTAGGCAGTGTTAGGGCTAAAAATATTTAAAAGAAGAAATTAAAAAATAGACCTCTTCAGATAACAAACCTGAAGATCCTCTTTCTGTACGCTCGCTTTATGTCTCCCAACGACTTGCCCAAAAGCGTCATGACAATGAACATACTCTTGGTTGTACTGTGCGGTTCACTATGGTCAATGAGCGTGGGCAAGTGTTGTCTCTCTTCCGGCTTTGCCAAGGCAGCTGCCTGCAACACCCGAACCTCCATCTGCAGCTTGTAGTGGTCACGCTTTGGAGCACGCTTCTCAAGTTTTAGAGCAAAGACGCCTCCTTTAGAGCCTCGAACTTTGTGGACAGCGCCGTATCCTCCAGAAGCGATGTCGGAAACTACAATGAACTCCTGTGTGGCGCTAAAAAAGGAGAAAAGATTGAAACGGATTTATAAAATTGAAAATGAAAACTGACCCTTGGTACGTTTTGACGCTGGCCTCCGAACTTATTGACGCAGTGTGCATGGTAGTTGACGTTGGACGACTAGTGGTCGAGAAAGGAGGAAGAGAAGCAGTGGAGTAGTTATGGGTGGTAACGAACAAAGATATTGAGGCTTTTATAATGCTTATCATCGAAGTATTATCAAAGTCCAGTTACCCAAAAAACTTCGAATATAAAAACCGTCAGAGAGCGCCAATTAAATCCAGTTACTCATTTCTAGTTTCTAGCTAGCCAGTTTCGTCAATTCGCCCCTTCCAGCCGCACTTGTGCTCTATGGCCAACATGGACATCGACAGATTACTGACGTATCTTATTGATAAGCAAGGCCCTGACCTCGCCGCAGCTGTGAGTTTGCTTATATTATGTTTAATAATTCCTTATGTAATTTTATTTTAAGGTTGACGCGTCTGTGCTTTTTGAAGTTTGCCGTCAGGCCCAACAAGTTTTCGAGTCGCAACCCGTCCTTCTGGAGCTCAACCCGCCTGTGGTCGTTTGCGGTGACATTCATGGACAATATGTGGACCTATTGCGGATTTTTCATCAGCTAGGCTACCCACCAACGGCAAACTACCTTTTCCTAGGAGGTTTGGATAGCTGTGTTTCCCTTTAAAGAAATAAAATTTAACTTTTCATAGATTACGTCGACCGTGGAACCAAAAACCTGGAGACGATCGCTCTGCTCTTCTGCTACAAAATCAAGTACCCGCGCAACTTCTTTTTGCTTCGAGGAAACCATGAAACGGCTGCAGTGAATGCTGTGTACGGCTTCCGGCAGGAGATTCAAAGGAGATTTGGTCGGAATGAGCATGGACCGTTGTGGCGTATGTTCAACGAGGCATTTTCGCAAATGCCTGTCACGGCAATTATTGGGGGTGAGGAAATAAATTTTCAGACGTGTCAGCGAAAATTCTCTTTTTTAGGACGTATCCTTTGTATGCACGGAGGCCTTTCGCCACACTTAGAGACCAGAAAGCAGCTACGCAAAATACCTCGCGGATGGCATGACCCTGGAGAAAACCGACTAGCATTGGACCTGCTGTGGTATTGAGACTGGTTTTGAGTCAAATGACATTTTTTCTCTTTTAATGTAGGTCCGATCCCGACCCAACCATAAGAGGCTGGAGACCAAGTCCCCGCGGATGCAGCTACTTATTTGGTAATGACGTTCTGCTAGATTCTTGCCGTCAACTCGACATCGATCTGATTGTGCGCGCGCACCAAGTGGTCCAGGATGGATATGAAATCAACCCAACTCAACGACTCATTACAGTGTTTTCAGCACCGAATTACTGTGGAGAAGTGAGTTAGGAAGAGAGGCTCGTCTATACTTTAAAAATTTCCTCCTTTTTTCAGTTCGACAACGCCGGCGCAGTGATGTACGTCGACCAGAGGCTTGGATGCTCTTTCGTTCAATTTCGACCCAAAGTGTGAAAATGAAAACAGAACGGCAGAACAAAATTATAAATATTGATTGTATTGTTTACCCTAAAGTTTTTTGTGTAACCCTCACTTTTCATTTTTGTTGTTAGCTGTGATTTTTTTGTTTTGTATGTGCTATTGTATATTCAATCTACATATTAGCATTAATAAAAATTAGCGTGTATTCAGGGTTATATATTTCTTAATTTTTAACGCAAACTTTCGGGGGTCGGCATTTACGGATGCGACAATTGTCAAATCCAGGTGTCGTCCGAATCGTCGTCCGGATTTTAAAAATTTTTAAATTAATTTTTTATTATTTTTTTTTCTAAAATATAAAAATAAGACAATCCCTAAAGCAGTCCCTCAATATTATTTGCGATTTAACAATCTAAAAAAAGCTATTCAGTCATATGAAGGAGAGAAATAATACAAAAAAATAAAGGAAAGGACAAAGGGCAGAAAAGTGGAGGCGGGAATGTTTGACGGCTGGAAATAACAAAAAAGCAAAAAATATCTGTGTGTGTGAGTGTTTTATTTGTTGCGACAAGTGGAGTGGGAGAAAAAAAGACTGTTGTCGTTGGCCAAACAAAAATGTCTGTCAAAGTATCCTCTTTCTTAATTCCAACCATTTTTTATTTTTTTTCCTTCCATTAGTTGCACTTGTTTCTTCAATAGAGAGAAAGAAAATATATAAAAATGGAGTAAAGATTCTTATTTTATTTTTTTCTATCATTCTTGAAGGCTTAAATATTTTAGAGAAAAAAAAGCAAAAAAGGAGTCAGCCAGTTCTTATTTGCAATGGTAAAATTCAAAGATGGCTCCGGCCATCTTTGCTCTTTTTCTTCTATTTATTACTTCTTTTACTAAATGAGGATATATTTATTAACTATTTTAGCTTTTAGGTATTTTTTTTATAAATTGTTAAGGAATTTGTAATATTTTAAAGATTCTCAGATTTGTTTTTATAAATATGTAACGACAAATAAAATTATTTAATTAATGATTTTATTTTTAAATAAAGTTTTAAGATGTTTTTAATTTTGATTTTTATTTAATTATAATACATATTTAATCAAAAACTAAGATTAAAATTAGCTCATTTTTATTAATAAAGTAATATTATTTTTTAATTTGTTAATTATAATCGTCATCCTCTTCTTTGTTAATTCCTTTTATAAAACTACATTTCCATTTATGTAACTAACGTCACCTTTTACACTAATTCTTTTTTTTGTACATTTAGTACATTACTTTTTTTTGATTTTCTTAATTTTTATTTAAATTTTTCTATAACTTCTTGAATATTTTAAATAATTTACTCAAAAAAAACAAGCAACCAAAATCTTCTTTTTTCTATCCCCCAACCGGATGAAGGATCTTTAGACTTAATTCATTTTTCAAATGGAAATTGGTCCCTGTTTGGAGAAATGAGGAAAATTGGGCGATTTAAAAAATGAGAAAGGAAAGGGAGAGAGAGAATCGAATGACCCTTGAACGCCACCCAGCAAGGAGAGAAATAAATAAATTGCTGAAGAAAAAGGGGAAAGGGAGGGGAAATATTAAATACTTTCCATATAATTTTACTAAACATTCCCGTCTATGGACGAACTTTAGAAAAATTTTTTTTTATTTTATTCTCGTTTTTCTTTTTCGTCGTTCTTTTTCCATTACATATTTTCTCTCTTTTTAATTTTTCTTTTATTTATATGGCCACCCAAATATTTTTTTGATAAAAAACTTTTATTATATAAATATTTATATGTTTTGTTTAAAATATTTAAAGTTTTGATAAGAAAATATTTTTTAAAAAATTTTTGATTCTCCTCTTTATTTAAAAATATGAAAAGGTAATTTCCATTTAAGGATTGTGGAAAGATTAAATAATTTAAAGGAGTAAATAATCTTTGGAAAGCTTTAAAAAATATATTTATAGAACAAAATAATTATATGTCATTTTCTTGTAATTAATTAACTTTTCCCACAGTTTTTTTTCATTCATCTTATTCCAAATATGTATAACTTCCGTTGCTTTTATTTTCAAAAATGTTTGTGTCTGTAATTTTTTTTGCAAAAATATTAGTGAAGTTGGTTGGCATTTTGTAGAAAAAAAACTAAAAAAGGGAGGAGGGGAGTGTATATGCAAAATAATATTAAATTTATTTATTTATCTCTATAAAGGCCATCAGTATTTGCAAATAAATATATTTAGTCTAAAATAATGGTATTTTTAGTTAGATTATATGTCCGTCGGTTGGTTCGAGTCAGTCAATCCCCTTTTTCTTTCTCTTCTTTTTTTCTTTTTTTTTAGTCCTTTTCCCCTCACATCAGACAGCCATTCGACGTACAAAACACACATTCCCCTCAAAATACAGACAATAAAACACACAAAACAGAAAAAAAGCACAAAAAAAGAAAAAGAAGAGGGGAAAGGAAAAAGGGGTGGTTGCAGCCGTCCCTAGCACGCCAGAATACCCCTTTAGAAGAATAAAAAATATATTTTATTTTTTTTCTTACTTAGAGCCACCCAACAGCAAAAGTGTTCGGGTGCAGACTTACTTGCAGCAAACAAGAGAGAAAAGGGCGATAGAAGGATATTTTGATTTTTGGTCGAATGCAACAGCAGAAAGGCGTGTTCATTTCTTTGCCTGATTTGCCCCAATCCTCCCCTTTACTTTTACACTTTTCTATTAACCTTCGAATCGACAAAATTGAAAAAAAAAGTGAAAAAGGCATTCTCGTGTTATTTAAAATTTTTTCTTTTTTTTTCTTTTAACGATTAACGTATTTTTGAGAGAAATTCTTTTTAAAAATTTGAATCATCTTTTTTTAACTCCCCCCCACCCCCCCCCCCAAACTTTTAGCTATCCTTTACTTTTTCTGTCTGGTATTTTTTGTTGTACGGATTTTTGGTCTTCAAATTTTTTGGAATTTTGATCACCATGAAGTAAAGCATCCATTGGGGTTTTGTATATATTTTGGCGTTATACAAAAGTTTTTTTTGAATATCCATTCTCTGAATAAGAGAATTGCTTTTTTTATTAGACACTAAATTTCGTACGAGTAATTTTCCGGTGACCAAATTTTAAAACTTCTGCAGAAAATCAAAATTTCTTTGATAATACATATGTAAAATATTGTTTTGAATGTTTAACTAAAATTGCTTGGCCTTTTTTAATTTAAAAATAAATATAGGTATTTAGGTAATTGTTTTTTTCTGTCTAACTCTCAAACTTTATTCACATTTTTATTTATTTTTAGCCTTTCTCAATTTTGCTTTAAATTTTCTTTTTATTTCTTTAAGCATATTTTAATTTTAATAGCAATATCTAAATAAATATATTTTTCTAAAATTATTTTTAATTAAAAAATTATAAATATTTTTTTTTGGATTTTTTCTCCAAACGGTTATTTAAAGTATTTGAAATAAATATTTAACATAACAATTAAATTCCATTAACTCCCCCACTTTTTTAAATTAAACTTATTTTTTAGAGACAACTTTTATTAAAATTATTATTTAAATATATTTGCAGAAATTACTTTTATCTAAATAATTTTTTGATGTTTTATAACAAAATAATTTTCCAAATATTTTAGCTATTTAGAAAAAAATTTTTCAAAGCACCAGCCCCCACCCTCTCTCTAATACATTCCTTATAGAATTATGACGCAAATAAATGTGTAGGTTTGTAACTAAAACGCCCACTTAATAAAAAATAAATAAATTTATATAACACATCTTTTACTTAATTTTCAAAATTTTTTTTAAAAAATTTTAGTATAATTTTTTGTAACAAGTTAACCCTAATAAATAGTTAAAAATTTAAAATTAAGGAATGGACTAATTAATTATTTAAAAATAATATTTTTTTGATTTTTCTTTTTCTTTTTCTTTTTTAAATACATTTAAAAAAATTCTTTTAAATAATTTTTCCATTAAATTCTTCAAATTTTTATTCCTTTCCTTCTAAATCGCTTTTTACAATTATTCTAAATATTTTATTAATTACTGCAAAAAAGTTTAATATATTATAGTAATTTATTTTTTTTCCATTTTAATTTACTGTTACTTTCAATTTTTGATAGTTTTTTTTCTTTCCTTCTCTTCAATTTCTTCTATTTTCATTCATCCGGCTTGTTCTCCCCCCCTCCCCCTTCCCCTTTAAATTTTTTAAATTTCTTTAAAAAATGAAATTAATCATTATTTCTATCATCTTTTGTGTTTAGGAAGAAATTTTATTTAATTTATTGAAATCAACTTAAAATTTAGTATTTTTTGGAAATTTTTTAGAATTAAAAAAAATATATTTATTTATTTCCTCATTTCCCCTTCTTTTTTTAAAGTCTAGACTTTTAAAATAAAAATTTTATTTAAAAATTACTTCATTATATTTCTTAAATTAAAAAAATAAAAGATATTAGTAATCATAATATATAAAGTCCTTTTTTAAACAAAAAATTTTTTTCAAAAAAAATTAATTATTAAAGTAAATATGTATATATTTGTTGCAATTATTTTAATCTGATTTTTGGTAAAAATTCTGTCTCAAAATAGTATGTATATATCCTCGACTTTTTTTTGAATATTTTTTTTTCATTTTTCTTCTCTCCAGCTGTCACTAACTTAGAGTTGTTGAGGGGGTGGGAGGATGGGAGGAAGGGGGGGGGGTTTGTCGTGTTGTTTGTTTTGTCCTTTGGTCTTGCTTCTTTCTTCTCTTTTCGTTGTTAGGACAGTCTAGGACTACCTAGACTGTCTGACTTGATGGCCGACCGGTTGGCACGACAAAAAACGGCTGCCCGCCTTATTCCCTTATGTTTTTTGCGGCCAGCCGGCGCCCAATTTTTATATATAAATGTTGAGGAAGGAAACATTCGTCCAACCATTCACTTCACTCTTCACCCCACCTTCAACCACTATATTCCTCCTCCTCAACTTCTCTTTTTGCTCATTTTGCTTTTTCATTCTTCTTTTTCCTTCCTTCCTTCCCCTACTCCCTTCCCCCCTTTCGTTGATGCTCATACTCCTCTCTTTTTTTGCCATTTCCCGGCTCCCATACAAAATACCGAATTCTTAAAATATGGAATCTCAAAATCGCGAATCGGCTAAAAAAACTCAAAATATGGAATCTCAAAATATCGAATCTCAAAATATGGAATAGGCAAAAAAAGCTCAAAATATCGAAAAATATCGACAATGCGGCAAAGGCCAGTTGAGTCTGAACAAAGTTGTGACCAACTTCTTCGTAAAAAAATTTTAAAAATAAGAGAAAGTATTTTTCTAAGGTAAAAAAATGTGCTGATTACGAATCTCAGCTCGGATTTTGAAAAAGTCGAATCCCGGACCCGAACCGAATTTCGAATCCCGAACCGAATTTCGAGTTTCCGAATGATAGCTCATCTGAAAGAGCACGTCGAGCTGCATCGAATGATACCAAAATCAATGAAATCCGACCTGATTGGACTGAGTTACAGATCCCTGAATAATCAGAAAAAGACCTGCAGCGGCACTCAAACGGCCCTTTTCGTTTTTAAAAAATTCGACATTTTTAACTACTTTTTAGCCGATTCGGTATTTTGAGCTTTTTTGGCCGATTCGCGATTTTGAGATTCGATATTTTAAGATTCCATATTTTGAGCTTTTTTGGCCGATTCCATATTTTGAGATATTTTTACCGATTCGCGATTTTGAGCTTTTTTAGCCTATTCGCGATTTTGAGAATTCGGTATTTTGTGCGGGCACGCATTTCCCGCATTCCCGTATTTCTTTACTTCAGAGTTCCTACTCCTCTCCTCCTCAATATTTTCTTCGTCTTCTCCCAGTCATTTTTTGTTGTCCTTCAATGTGTATTTAATATATATGTGCACATAATATTTTCTCAAAAATTTTATTTTTAGATTTTTCATTTTCTTAAAAGAATTGAATTTTTTATTTTAAATGAAATAAAATAGAATATTCTTAATATATATATTTAAATCTTCAATAATTAACATAGTTAAAGCCTTTAATTATTAGGTAGTATTTAGATAAATATGTTGTTTTTTCTATTTAATTGAGGAGGTTAATTGAAAGATTAATAATTGTTTAATAACAACATATTAAATGTGTTTTAGTCCTTTAAAAAATATTTTTGAGTTTATATATTATGTTTTGTGTATATTTGTATAATTTTATTTATTTAAATATTTTCTACGTCAATTTTCTTTTATTAAATCAAAAAATAATTAAATAAAATTATATATTCACGTCATAATTATTTAAATTAAAAACAATTATTTGGAATTGTTTTTGTCTCCAAATATAGAGAAAATTAAAAAAATTACTGTTTTGACCAGTCTCGAAATTATTTATTTACTTTATTTTCCAGGTGAAATATTTTAATTAATTATTAATATGACGATATTATTTATTTAAAAGGACACAAATAAATTGTCTATAAATAAATAAATCTAATTTCCAAATATTTAAAACAGATTTACTCATTTTCCCCCACTTTTAAAAATTTTTGAATAAAATTATATAAAATTTTAGATATTTCTACACAAAAGAGATGAAGAATTTTGAGGTAAAATTAAATTTTTGAATAAAAATATTTTTGTAAAATAAACGAAATATTAAATTAATTTTGAGGGTTTAAAGTTAATTAGAAGTTGGAATTATTTTCTCTTTTAATTTTATTTAAGTCTGATTTATTTAAAAGCAATATTTCTTTTATTCGTTTTTTGCTTTTTCTCTCTAATCCTTTTAATTAAAGCAATCCTTCTTTTTTAATCTTTACTCTCTATTTGTTAGGAAAAAGTGTTGCTTCATCATTTTTTGATGATTAAAGCAAATATTGTTTCAAAAACTGATTAGAGGGGAATTTAGAGATATGGTGATTGGGGGGAGGTTGGGGAGGGGAGGGAGAAATTGTTGTATATTTATTTATTAGACAGTAATTAAATCGTCTAAAAATGTGGTGGTGGTGTGGTTTTTTTGAAAAAATATAAAAAAAGAAAGAAATAAATATTTTTGAGACAGCCAACCAATCACAGAATTTTTTCATTCAAAACCAACCAACCGTTTGGTTTAAATGGAAACAATATTTCTCTTTTCTGGAGGGGCGAACGGATAGGTTAAACACGGGAATAATAAATGGAGGGGGAATGGGGGACGAGAGAGAAGGAATTGTTGGTATTTAGAAAAGTACAAAAATCATGTTAAAAAGAATAATGTGCGTATTTATGTTTTAACTAGAGAAGAATATATTTCGAAACATTTTAGTTTTTAAATATACATCCCCTAATGGCGGACATTCTCTTTTAAAGATTTAACTTCGCTTTCTAAAAAATTTTCCCCTTGATTCTAAGTAATTAAGAAAGATGGCTTCTTGGATTCCTGAAAACTTAGAAATTTTCATCTGTAGCGAAAATTAAGGAGGAATTCTGTCTTCTTGGTCACATTAAATACCATGTTGAACATGAGGAATTAGCGCCGCATAAATTCCTTCGAGGCTCTCAAACTAAAAATTTTCTGAACAAAAATTTTCGTTTAGTATCAGGACTAATTTACATTTTCTTTAATTTAGTTTAATGAAACTTTCATTTAAAAATAAAAAAAGTTTAAAGTAATGATCAAAGATCTGAATTTTTCGGCACAAAGCCTTCAAAAATTCTCAAAATTTTCTCATGCGGCGCTGGCTAAATTTTTAATGATTAACCAGACTCTTTTAATTTCTAAAATATTTCTAAAATTTATTTTAAATAATTAAATATTATGTTCGTGTTGTGATTCACCAATGAATCAGACCATTCAATCATTCAATCATTTTACCTCCTCAAATATTTTCAATTTATCTCTCTCTTATTTCTATCTTTTCATACATTTATTCATAACATTCTGGATTAGACTTGAAAAATTTTAAAAATCGTTCGAAAAGGGGGAAGGGCTACAATTTAATTTAAATAATAATTAAATTCTCTACTTTAATTAATAAAATCTTTTTTTTTTAATTTCCAAAAAATTTTTTTTTGTAAATTCTTAATTTTCTCACGTATTTATATTTTATTTACCTAAATTAAAATTTATTTTTAATTTCCATAATTATTCAAAAATAAATAAAATTTCTAAGAATTTAATTAATTTCTATTTATTTCCAAGCTTTCCCAAGTCAAAAAATCATTCCTTTTTTAATTATGGGAAATAAATAAATTTATTTATTAAAAGCTAAAAGCTTTTTCTTTTGATTTCTGACACTTTAAAGTTTTTAATTAAAAAAAGAAAAGATTGGAAAAAAATTATTTTATTTATTTATTAAAATAAAAAATTATATAAATATTTCCAGACATTACACGATTAAATAAAAATGGGGGGAAGGGAGGGGAAGGGGAATAAATAAATATAATTAAAAATTAAATATAACAATTAAACAAGGCTTTTAAACTTTCAATTTTTAATTTTATTATTTTTTTCTTAAATTAGAAATTATATAAATTATTTAAATAACAATACAGTTTTTTAAAGTTTATGTGGGAAATTGATTTAAAATATTAGGTAGTTATTTTTAAGCATTCCAATTTTTAATTAATTAAAACAATTAATTAAATAAAGAAATAAAATTTTTTTTATTTTTAAAATAAATAATTTTATTTTGTCTTTAACTTCCTGTTATTTTTTATTTTAAAAAATTCTTTACATTTTTATTTCACAATAAGGAAGGAAGGTATTTTTTAATTTTTTTTTGCAACATAATTTTCTTTTTTTTTTATTTTGTTAATTTATTTTTAATGATTCATTGAAAAAAATATTTTTTGATTTTATTATAAATATTTTAAATTCTCATTTAAATATTCATTTTTAAATTTAAATTATTTCAAAAAAATTATTTTTATTTTTTAAATTAAAGACAAAATATCCCAAAAAGACATTTGATCCCATTATTAATAATTAATTTATTTTATTTATTTTTTGGTTATTTTTGCGGTGAGTTAGTTGCTCAGTCATGGTTTGAGTACTCCAGCGTTTTTATAAAATATAGCGGCTGAGGTATTGAATCATGACTGAGGCACTATACTTAAATATATACTGCTTTTTTTAAATAATTATTTAAAAAAAAATATTTCAACAATTTATAATTATTTCTATTTAAATTAATTTTTATTAAAAACAACAATCAAACATTAATTGCCGGGCATATGTAAGTTTTATTTTTTTGTTTTTAATTAATTGACAGAAATTATCGGAAACACAATTTATTAAAAATAAAAAATTCTTTTAATTAAATTGAAAACACCTCTAGATTTCCAAAAAAAATTTCTCTCAAAATTCCCAAAAAAAACTTTTTTGTGCCATTTAGTACCAAATACTATCTCAGTTAAGGTTATATGTACATCTCATAAAATAGCCAACCAATCATTTTTTAAAGGAAAATTATTTATTTTGAGGGAAAAAATACATAAATATATATTTTTTAAGAGAATATCAAGGCCAGGTTGTCTCTACGAAGGAAAAAATGAAAAAAATAACTTAAGATCGAAAAGTTTTATTTATAAATATTTTTTGGTAATACATATTAAAAATATATAATATTATTTGTAAATATAACATGACTAGAATTTTCAAAATCCTCAAATTCCTTCAAATTTCCATTAATATCCATGTATGAACTAATTTTGCGCGTACTTGTAACACAGAATCCAATCCAACTTCGTATCAGCGGTGGGTGGTAATATCGGGGCTCGTGAATGGAAATTTTCAATTCGAAGGCCAAGAAGCTAGATTTCTTCCTTTTCAGCGACTTACACGAAAATTTTGAGATGAAAAGCCGCAAATTTGAAGCGATTTGGGAAAAAACACTATCCCTATCCATTCGTATCCGATGATATTCGCGGGTATCCAGCTATTATCCGTATCTATGTGTAAGTCGATAAATTTGATCATCTTTTTTTACAAAGGAAGTAGTATTTCATCTCAATATCTAACAAAAATAACGTTATCCAAAATCTTAACCAAATAAAGTACAGAATATTCTTCTACATAAAGACATTCTCCAAATAAATAATTCGAATTAACCAGTCTTTAATTTTATGTTCTTTCTCTCTAATTTTATTCCAAGGACATTCCCTCCTTAATTCTCAAGTGTTGGCTAACCTTAATTTTAAATTTAATTTAATTATAATTTTCCCAAAAAAACTTTACCTTCCAACCCCAATTTTCTTCTCCTCTCTCAATCATATTTTTTTATCCCGTAAATATGTATATATCCACTTGAATGCTTCTTATAATTTTTCATCCTTTCTTGAGTGGGTAAAAAATGTTCAATTTGATCGTGAGCTTTCTTTTACGTTTTTAATTTTTTTATATTTTTTAAAAAAATCTTTTCTTTACTTAATACAATAATTAT